CACACCTAACCGTTACGCCATGGAGAACCACTCTCTCGTTGGCTGTGCGGCTAACCCATAAACGAAAGTGAATCACTATAAGCATGCAAAAACCCCTACTCAATGAGGCCTCGAACCCTTGACCACTCGAACATGAGGCAGCACTCCTAACCGTTACGCCATGGAGAAGCACTACCTCGTTGACTGTGCGCCTAACCCATAAACGAAAGTGAAGACTATACGCGTGCAAAAACTCCTGCTCAACAAGGACTCGAACCCTTGACCATGCCAACATGAGACAGCACACCTAACCGTTACGCCATGGAGAACCACTCTCTCGTTGGCTGTGCGGCTAACCCATAAACGAAAGTGAATCACTATACGCATGCAAAAACCCCTACTCAAAGAGGCCTCGAACCCTTGACCACTCGAACATGAGGCAGCACTCCTAACCGTTACGCCATGGAGAAGCACTACCTCGTTGACTGTGCGCCTAACCCATAAACGAAAGTGAAGACTATACGCGTGCAAAAACTCCTGCTCAACAAGGACTCGAACCCTTGACCATGCCAACATGAGACAGCACACCTAACCGTTACGCCATGGAGAACCACTACCTCGTTGACTGTGCGCCTAACCCATAAACGAAAGTGAAGACTATACGCGTGCAAAAACTCCTGCTCAACAAGGACTCGAACCCTTGACCATGCCAACATGAGACAGCACACCTAACCGTTACGCCATGGAGAACCACTCTCTCGTTGGCTGTGCGGCTAACCCATAAACGAAAGTGAATCACTATACGCATGCAAAAACTCCTACTCAATGAGGACTCGAACCCTTGACACATGCGAACATGAGGCAGCACTCCTAACCGTTACGCCATGGAGAAGCACTACCTCGTTGACTGTGCGCCTAACCCATAAACGAAAGTGAACGAAATTAATCATGAATGGTTCAACCAATTCAGAAAGAGTCTCAAGATCTTCGACGCTTTGTTCCTGATGACCATGGATCCCCTAGTTTCTTGCTTTTTTCTCCTTTCTTCGGAGATCTCCAAAATTAGGTCTGACCCTTTCCCCCCTTTGGCTCCCTTTGATTTTCAAAGGGTGGCGCCACCGGGAGCCAAAGGGTCGGACCACCCCTTCGGTTCCTTTTATATTTACAGAGGTGGCGCCACCAGGAACCGAAGGGGCGGTCGGGTCAGACCGCCCAGCGCCGGGCTTTGGGTAAAAACCAACGTTCGATGACTCAGTAGACTCCTTGTTTCATTCTGCGCCGTATATCAAGCAACTGAACAGTCGCTTATAATGCAGTTGGTTGCTTTATGCCATGACAATGTCGGGTATTGGAATCGACAACTGAGAGCGGCTCGAACGTCGATGCCACATTTTCCATTACTTATTTCCTTCATTTACAAAAATCTCCCAAGATTTCACTGACTTCGAATTGAATCGTATCTTATCCTATCTCATCTTATTCATGTCGTATCTTATTAGTACCTCAAACTTGGGAAATTAAACCAAACAAGCTGTTGACCAACTCGATTACGCGCCGTATAATTGATTTTGGACTGTTCTGCTCCGCAAAACGGAGCAGGGCAGAATTTAATGTAGCAGTAAGGGACATCCGACCACGGGTAATCTAAAGCCAAAGTCTCGCGGCTGTCTGATTCGTAGTTCCTTAGAAAATTCTAAAACTTAACTTGTTATTGTATATTTTTGTAGTGAAGAAGCCGTGCGCAATGATTACAGCAAGCATATTTATATGTAGCACATGTGTGTGTGTGTGAACAGAAATCGCTGGTGGGTGAAGCTGTCTGGGAAGGACTTAGCTAAAAAAATGTGAGCGTATACGTGTATGTATGTGTGCCTCACTAAATGTACGCAAAAAATCCGCCTATGCGAGGACTCGAATCTTTGATCCTCGAGCACGAGACCAGACACCTAACCGCTGCGCCATGGTGAGACGCTCTCTCGCCTAACTTTGCGCCTATTGCATAAGCGAAAGTGTACGAAATTGAAGCACTTCATGCATGCAAAAACTCCTTCTCAATGAGGACTCGAACCCTTGACCATCGAACATGAGATCACACCCTTACCCCCGTTGCTACTTGTAGCAACGTAGGACCGACCCTGGTGTGAACAGAAATCGCTGGTGGGTGAAGCATAAACAGTGCAGGGATTAGGAAAAAACCATGATGAACGGTCTAAAACACGAGAAATGGAACACCTTTCTTGCTCGTTGATTTCCACATTGATGCGGGTCTTTCGATGTTGTTCCGTTCAACGCTAGGAAGTCTAAGAGGGGGTCGTATTTGGCCGACCGAAAAGGGGGTCGTTTTGCAAAGGTAAACGTCGCCGTACTCAGAAGTGAAGTGTCCATATTTGACTGCTCATTTACACAAACATGCTCTGAACCAATATCTTTAAATTGACAGAAGTTTCTAAAAGAGTGACCTTGACTTGGGTGGAATGATTAAAGGCTGACAAGAAAAGTTCAAGGAAAAAAATGATTGCCTTCGCTGACTTCCTGGAAAAGGTTTAGTATCTGTTATGAAGCACAAAGCTTGTGCGATGTCATGGTATCATTATTCCCCATAAAATTGAGTTTGAAGAGAGCTGTGAGTGTTTGAGTGTTGAAAACTCGTGTTTTCAGGAGAGTAGCTCCGAAAATTCATGAAAAAAAAACGGTCCAACGGGACGATTTTTGAACGGGTCATTTGGAAACGAGATCAAGTATTCACTAGAAAGCTAACCTTCTAGTTTTTCCAGGAACATTTGCAAAAGTTGAATCTGAAGAAAGTTATAACAGTTCAAAGCCAAAAAACCAGCGCTCTGCGAAAAATCGGTCCGCGATTTCCCCAAAACGGTCCAACGGGGCGATTTTTTGACTCCATCAATTTTGAAAGAGTTCAAGCACTTTAGAAAGTTCTAACCTTCTAGCTTGTTTCAGAGGGACAAGAATTGCGAATCTTTTCTGACTTTATGAAGACTAGATTCCGAAAGAGAGAAGACGACCGACTGTGGATTGTGGACTCTAGCAAGCTCATCGAGCTGAAAATCAAAAGGTAATCGCTTTGTTCAATTCATACACCATTTTCAATGCTTCAGATTTATCGCCATCGGGTCTTCAACCTGGAAAAAATTCATAAGGATGTCAGGCTTTCAAAAATCTTTTTTAGAGAGCGCCCTCATTCCACGCACATCTATTCAGAAAATCAATTGTCTAGTTGCCATGAACGGGCTAGGAGGGGGTGAGGGAGGAAGTCACTACCATCCACATTTGAAACAAAATTAATCACTTTTGCTAGAACGAAGCCGTCTAAACCCAACTGAGAAAAGAGCACTGCCCAGTCTATCAGAAAATTCATAAGCGGTCTTCTTTACCGACGACATCAGAGATTTTACTGCGAGGACGTGGTGCACAGTTTGAACTCAGCGAGACCCTCGACGGATTGTGGGATATAACAGCGTTTTTTTTAAACAGTAGTCCGAAGAGGTCTCGCACATTCGAAGCTACTGTCTGTAAAAAGTTATCTATCACTAAATTGACTGGAGAAATCGTATAGCAACTTCAGCCTAGAACAATAACTGACGGTGACCTTGAGCTTGACGAAGTCATATTCTGAACATAGTGACCGTAGTGGAGCAGGGCCTGCTTCTGCTTATGGGGAGGAGTTTAAGGAATATTTTGCCATAGAATTGTCATCAATAGCGGCATTCGGTGCGACGAAGACGCGAAGACGCGCGTAATGGGCAAAGTAACTTTGGCCACCCCTGTATAAAAATTTAGTCTATACAATGACTTGAGGGACCAGCAAATGGACAGGTCATTCTTTTGTCGTTCCAAATCGTGGTACAACTGAAAACGGACAGGGGTAAGCTTTTATTTGGGAGAATTCCGACCTTTGATTTGCCCGCCCAAGCATGCTTATTAGGTGGAGCCATTTGCCACTAAACACTTTGGTAACAAAATATACATATCTAATCCATCCATCAGTCTCTGGAACAACTCAAATTGTGGGTAGTTCGTAATCATTGATGATCCAGTTAAATGTTGTAAAAATACACGAAATAGGGCGGCTTCCAAAACCGATTATCCAATTTCAACGTAAAGATGATAAATGTCTTGAAAAAAGTGGATATAAAACTCTTTATGTTATACGAGTCGAGCAAATCTCTGTTCACTAGCACAAACCTATACATACTGCACCGAATCGGGAAGATCACAGCAATTTCAATGGAATGAACGACACTGATACTATTGAGATCAAGAATGAACTACGTATACTCTGTTTCCGAAAACCAGGTGGTTCTCGAGTGCAGACTCTACAGCACAAGTGACTGTATGGTCTGCACTCGATGCGCACCTGGTTCCCGGGAGCAGAGGGTACATACATTTCCTTGCCTCCTCTTCAAAAATGAGTTACCGAACGAAATGTTTGAAAGAAGGGTCCATACCATCTAGTAATGCAATTTTTGTGACGATTTCACTGTTGCTTGATGAGGAGGTGTTTGCCAAGGCAGTCGCATCGTTTGCCGCCAGATCCCAATGCACTTTGTTTGTCGGGTTTCTTCAACTGCAGAGACTTTCCGCTGGTCATCGTACTACTGCCGTACACTCGGCTCATGCGCTTCACGCGATCATTGCCCAGCGGCACGGCTCGCGCTTGTCGAATACGCGTTTCAAATCGGTCAATCGCTGTCGAGTTTGAAGATGGTACAGCCCTCGCATGTGACAGTCTCGCTCGCTCTTCCATGTAGATCAGCTTCAACTGGTCTGAAAGCGAGTCTGAAATTGATGGTCTTCAACCAAAGAAGCGCTGAACGCTACGGGCTACCTGATGTCATTGAAAACCCCGTGAGTATATTCAAGACGTGTTATGTGGTGATCAAGTTGTTCCTACCCTATTCTTTGAAGAAGTATATTTTTGCGCGATATTTTTGGAAACATGGATGGTAAGATGTTCCAACATTTGTGCGGTATTTTGAGGCAACGCAATGGAAAATAAAAGAAACTACAGAAGCTTGTCTGCCAACCTTTCAAAAATACACAGCTGATCACGATGTTCGAAGAAGACAACCCCCCCCCACTGTTGGAACTACGTTGCCCCCATAATCGTGTGAAGCTGAAGTGAATAAGTAATAGATATTCTCACCTTATAACGTTTTTGAACGGTTGAAGTGGTGTAGTGGCAAGTGGCACGCTTACCACGCGAGCGGTCCGGGGATCAAATCCTGGGTCGTGAGTCGCCCGGGCCAACCAAGCCTTCCATCCCTCCGGGGTCGGTTAATTGGTACCAGACTTGTCTGGGAGGATAAAAACACGATTTGTACATCGGCTGGAAGTAGAATGCGTGCCGCATCCCAAAAAGGATTGACCAACGGTAAATGCATTATTCTTTGCCTTATCCTTTACCAGTTGGCGCCGCACGCATTGCGCGCGCAACACAGATCTGTGGCGAATTTTGATGGTGCGACGAAAAATTTCAAATTTGGCTTGATACAATACGAATATCTGAATTCTCCGCTAAATTCTATGCGCTCTTTCTTCGTCAACCATTATCCTATTTTTCTCGGTCCTCGGCCCGGACAATAAATCTCGTGGCGAACTCCGTCTACTTCGGTGCGTGCCCTGCCGACCAATAGCATTTGGCTCCCTTCTTTTCGCCGACCTCTACCCCCTTTTTCACCGGTCTCTGGGACCTCTTGGAACCAAATTACGACACTTTTGGCAAACTCCGCCCACTTAGGTGCGTGCTCTACCCACTAATAGCAGTTGACCTCCTTTCCTTCGCCAACCTCTAACCCCTTTTTCCCAGCCTCCTGGACTTCTTGGAGCCGAGTTATGAATTTTCGTCGCAAACTCCGCCCACTTTGGTCAAGCCCCGCCCACCGATGACAGCTGGCCTCCACTCCTCCACCCACCTCCATCCACCTTTTTCCCGGCCTCCGGGACTTCTGCAAGCCGAGTTATGAATTTTCGTCGCAAACTCCGCCCACTTTGGTCAAGCCCCGCCCACCGATGACAGCTGGCCTCCACTCCTCCACCCACCTCCATCCACCTTTTCCCCCGGCCTCAGGGACTTCTTGGAGCCGAGTTATGAATTTTCGTCGCAAACTCCGCCCACTTTGGCCAAGCCCCGCCTACCACTGGCCTTTGACCTCCACTTTCCCACCCAACTATATCTTCTTTTTTCCCCACTCTCCGGGACCTTCTGGAACAGAGTTCTGAATTTTCGTCGCAAACTCCACCCACTTTGGTCAAGCCTCCGCCCACCGATGACAGCTGGCCTCCACTCCTCCACCCACCTCCATCCACCTTTTCCCCAGCCTCCGGAGCTTCATGGAGCCGAGTTTATAAATTTCGTCGCAAACTCCGCCCACTTTGGTCAAGCCCCGCCCACCATTGATAGCTGGCCTCCACTCCTCCATACACCTCTATCCACCTTTTTCCGGCTCTTTAGGACTTCCCCGACCCGAATTATGAGGGCTTGTAGAAAATGCTGTACACTTCAGAGCGCGCCCCGCCCATTCTGGGCAGGCCTCCGCCCACGTCATGTATGCGGGAAACACCTTAGACATTGCTCCCTTACACCGAATTGTTTTCTGCTCTGTAGGCTTTCTCCCAACCGAGTTATGAAATTTTTCATAAAGCACTGCTTTTTTAGAGAACGCCCCGCCCACCGGGGGTGGGTCTCCCTAATTCGATGTACTTACCAATGCACACCTTAGCCCACTTTTTGGCCCAGTTTCGAGGTCGTTTTTTCACTGAAATCGAAATCTTGGTCTTTGGTACAATTCATTTCGACGCACGCCACGCCCTCTGTGGGCGGGGCTCCGCTTAGCTGATGTGTTTTGTATTACGTGAGACCCTGCCCACCCATCCCACACTTGACCCGGTCCCTCCAGGCGGATCCCGAGGAGCTAGGGAATTTCGTGACAGACATACAGAACGACAGAGGGACAGAACGACAGAGGGACAGAACGACAGACGAAGCGCTTTATAGTATGTAAGATAGCCTTTTTGAAGGCACGGGTCGCGATTACATTTTCAAACATACTATCCTCGAGTGAGGTAGCAAGGGTCCCAATCGCGGGGTAGTGATTTTGACTAGACATGATAATACGCGACCTGCTGCCGTTCCTATTAATCGCAGCATACGTTGCATCTGCGCCTTCTCGCGTACGACGTGCTCCCTCATGGTTTTCCCCTCATGGGTCTTACTCCGTACCACGGTCGACTTTACGGGGAGAATTTCAGTGTTTTCCGGTAGAGTTGCTTTTTTCCCTAACTAACCTTCCTTTTCACTTTTTTATCTAGCTTTCGAACAAAATGGATTCAAATTCAAATTCGATTGCGAGCGATGCCTTCAGAGAAATTCTTCACGGAATCTTGTATTTTTTCCCAACATGCATATGTCAGTTGTGATCACTAGAGACAACATACAAAGTTTCACGCACAATTCGGTTTCCGAAGAGAAACAAACTTACAAAAACACACTCTATGGACAATCGAAGGTAAAAGGCGCGGAGCCAAAGGCGGGGCATGGAAAGAAGTCCGCCTTGGGGCGGCTACGTATCAGGCGACGCAATGAAAGAATCGGGTTAAAGCGTGCGATTTTGGAGAGTAGAGACAAATCGATCGATAGAATAGGATGCAGTAGAAGTGTGAGATGTGAATGCAATAAGTCAAAAGGCCAGAAAGAGTTTCTAGTGAAGGCACTCCAAGAACCAAGTGGAAGCATTCCCGTCGCCAGCATTTGTGACAGATGTCCGGCGGTACTTTGAACGCGTAGCAGCCCTTTCGGTTTTTCGAATTTTTTACCAAAACAAATGCAATTTTTGTTCTTTTCGTTCTTATCGTGAACGATGGGTCCCAAGCCAGTGAATTATGGGCGATAGAATCACGATTTTTCCGAGAAGAATTGAATTGTTCGCAGTGATGTTACAAAGAGCACCATCAATCTATAGAGCTGCAAGGTTGCATCACGTGTAGTCATGATCAACTTGCAATGAGTACATATGCTCTCAAAACCGCTTACCGTAGAGAAATTTCTCCCAGGAGTAAAATGTCTGGAACTTGAAGTGTACAGGATCGAGTCCATGCATCTTACAGAAATTTCCTACCAGTGATCTCACAAGTATACGCTCTTGCACCTTAAACAATATCACGGAGTCATGTGACGATCAAGCCATTCCATACTATATGACGATCTGAATTTTTCTCAGCTTCAGAAAAAAAAACTCACGATCCGAAAAACATACCTTGCCGTACTGTATTTGCATTCTCTTCAAGTGTGTTAGTTCTTGGAAGATAGACTTCTCATGGATGTATCGTTTTGAAGCATCTTTTCCTAAAAGTGACCAAGTGAAGCCTTGCTCTATAAGCCTCTACGGAAACCACGGAGGTACTGGAACGCCTCCCCGGGTAGGCACTACAAGAAACGCCCACCCGCAAGTAGAACGGTTGGGCATGAACAAAGCCGAGCCTACAGGTTCGTATAAGGTTTTCAGAGAAAATTTCCACCCCTCCCCCCTTGAGTGACCTACATTTTCTCTACAGACCGACGGTCAACGTACACATGACACAACGCTTAAAGGAGGAATTCACGATTAGAATGAAGGTCGAAGAAAGGGAAACTGACCTAGTTGAGGGACCCACGGACCTCCTGAGGGTGCGAACTGACGCGCAATTCGCATGGAAAAATTTGACCTCGGCGACCTATCATGCCTCAAAGCTGGCGGGTCCGGCGATCTCCGCCCACCGATCATCTGATCACTCGCCGTAGTTCAATACGTGGCGAGTGATTAGATAGCTGAGAGAGCGTAGTGTTGAAGAGGGCACAGCGATGAGAGTCGCATCAATGCTCAAATCAACGGGCAAGGAAGGGGTCCCATTTCTCGGGTTCTGGGCCGTTTCTCATGGTTCTTCCTTCTTTCGTGTACCACTCACCATCCCTAGGTTAATTTGAAATGGGTTGCTTTTTCATCGTGAATTCGTCCTTTAAACCAATAGTTACCTTGATAAGAAGGCATAAAAATGTTGTCCGAAACATGCATCCACAACTTTTTATCCGATTGTGCGCCCTTTTTCCCTTTTCTGTTGAGCTATCGAAGTTGCTGCATCCTATTAATCCCTTAGACTACGACTTTTTTAGAAACAAGTTATCGATGTGTTTTGTGTAGTAACAGTCGCTCCTAGCAACAACTAATCATCTGTAGAAATTTGGCTGACGCGCGCTGGGTTTGAGCTGGGATTCGATCCAGAGACCATATGCGCGGCAGTGGCCCCTCCTGTCACCACACCATCTCCGCTCGAATGAGCATTTTTAAACAGTTCAAGGAACATCGGAGGGCTCTACAAAATCCGGCCTCATATCCAGGTAACAGCTTCTCCAAACATAGAACCCAACAACATGCCCATGGGGATCCACCCACCCTCAACGTAAAAGTCCTACACCGTTCCGTTGAAAACACAGTGGAACGCAAAATACTGGAGGCTCTGGAAATAAAAAGACTAGCCCCGGAAATAAATAGCAGAGACGAGTTACGTGACTCTCTTCAACTCATCGCATGACTGCAGTTATCATCACTGTGGAATGAATGCGATATTTTGGGAAATAACGGTCGTAGCACGTCAACGCTATTTAAGGGTAAGTCTAGGGTAGGGAATAGTTCCTGCTTCACAGACCGACAAGGGTGGTAAGTGTTACACTTTTGAGAGTGGACAGCAGGTGGGTCAGTTAATATATTTTAATATATTAACAGACTTTAAGAAAGCTTCTAATTTTCATTTCAGGCTCGACAAAGGCGCTAAGCGCCGAAAGCTCGCCAAAAAGGCCTAAACTTTTGCAAAACTTTTGCAAACACACATTTTTGCAATTTCTTTTGTAAAAGTTTTGAGTCTTTTGCAATAAATTTTGAAGTCTCACATTGTTTAATACACATTTAGATCGACATGAGACTTCGGGACAGAACAATTCTAATTGTTCAAGGACCATTCAACAAATACACATTTATCACATCTCATTCGTGGAACAAGGCAATGTCCGGTTGGGAACGCACTTGAAAAGAATTGCAAGCCGCACTTTGTAGAAGTGCTGCTCCCCTGCCTACAGGCTGCGCCCACCGGCTGCTTCTCCTCTAACGAATTTTCGCTGGTTTTTATGCTCGAAAGCTGCGTCATCATAGGAGTGTTCTACTACCACTTCCGCATCAAACGAACTGACAAAACTCCGGAGGTTGGAATTTCCAACGCAGTCGTAAAACGCTGTCGTCCTCTAACTGGCTTGCGGCCGATAAAAACCTCCATCCGTCATCGGTTTGCTTATGTTTCACCTGTTTCACAATAATTGAGGGAAATATTAGAACCATTAACACAATACAAAGAGTGTGAGACTCGAAAACTACCTTTTCGGGAGCTGTGCACACTGCCCAGTGACCTGTGGAACGACTTGCTTATCAACTTATCCAGCGTAACTCGCTTAGACTTCTGATACTTCGCTGACAGAGTAAGAATTACCAAGTTTCTAGTTGTGCACAATTCCGCCATAAAGCGGGCCCTCCGATCTCAATAAGTGCCAAAACTGTGGTAGTGACTTTGACTACGGAAGTGGGACACATGTGTACCACCAGTAGTCAAAGATTAACTTACGCAGGATGACTCGCTTTAGCTTCTGACGATTAATTGTCATAGTAAGAATTAGAAAGCTTCTATATGTGCACAATTCAGCCATCAAATTCTCCTGCCTCAATATTCCCTGGAACTGTGGTAGTGTCTTTGACTACGAAGTGGGACACATGTGTCCCACCAGTAGTCAAAGGGTTAAACGCGTTTGATCCCTGGATCTTCATTTTGGAATTTGGTTACAATATTCTGATGCGGAGCCCCACCCAAGCAAATCCTACAGTCACGTTACTGTTGCGCTGCTCCTATCAACAGAGGTAAGACTCCGCCCTACGACATTGCCACACATTTTTTATATCAGACACCCCGCGCACAATAGGCATACAGATGACTGTGACAGCCGTTGGGGAAAAACTTCAACTGGGATCTTTTGGACAGATTACCTCTGAGCAAATAACTTACGCACCAGTCGCACGACCTGTACCCAGTTCCTCCCAGTCGTCTTCGTAAACTTCGTATTCTTCTGCTTCATCACCAGTATCAGACAGCCGTCGAACTCGCATCAGCACACGCTAAATTCACAGGTACTGAATTTGAAATCATAAACTCACTGATTTTCAATCAATTTCATCAGTCTCGCGGTGCGCTTACTTATCGTTCTGCTTTACCATAAGAAACTTGGAGGTTACAAGGGAGGTCTTTCAGGACATGGAGCGCTTTTTCGAAATGGTTTTCTGCATGTTGTAGGGGCTCATGCGAGGAACACAGAACCATGATCCATTTTTCCTGAACGCCTCCAGGAATGTCAAAACAGTGGTGAAGAAATGGTCCAGAGTTCGATCCCCGGTGATGACTAATTTTTGCAATATAGTTTGGCGCCCCCAGATTGCCGCCAAATGGCGCCATCGTCGAGAATAGATGTCATTGTCGTGTTTTGCGGCAATTTGGAGGACATAAATTGCAAAAATTTGTCATCACGGAGGATCGAACTTTGGACCATTTCTTCCCCGCTGTTTTGACATTCCTGGGGCGTTCAGGAAAAATGGACCATGGTTCTGTGTTCCTCACATGAGCCTCTACCACAAAGAACCATTTTGAAAAACGCTCCATGTTCTGAAAGACCCTGTTGTTGTTAGGAGGCTCTCCAGTGTCGCTGCTTTCACTCTTACTGGTTCTTCTTAGAGAGGAGTGTGATTGAGTATGTGGCAGTCAACTAAGATGAGATCAAAAACGCACTTTGCCGTCATCTCCAGGAGCCGCATCTGTTTTGATGCGAACAAGCCTCTCTTTGGTACTACCGGAACGCGCCTGCATCCTTTTGTTCGACTTCGTCTGTGCACCGGCCTTCTTTGAGACCGGCTTCTGAAATGACCTTCTTCCTGTCGTACACAGCGACCTTGCCACTTAACTCGTACGCATGCAGTTGGCTCAAGCGGGGATAGGAACGGACACACAGCAGTAGCAACAGTGGCAGCCAAAAGATTTAGACATGCTCTCAAGAATGTTTTGACCATGCTTAGGATGTCATTAATTGGAAGTATAACTTGCACTTGAACAATAATAAGGAAGAAAACAGGTAAGCGAAAAGAAACACGAAGAAGTTGGCAAGGACACACAAAAGCAGTGTTGATTCAGCTGTACTTCACACAGACACCGTAGGTTCACAAATAAGCGTGCAGGAATCTCGTGTTTTCTGACAACGACCTCACCGGCGGCCGATCATTGCCGTGGTTTTCCGCCATTACTCTCTCATGAGACTGAGAGGTGTTCTCGTTATCTTCGTATTCTTCCTCGCTGGTGTCACTGATTGGCGGCAGCTCCTACGAAGAAGTACCACGGAACTATTCACTCAATCATTTCTGTACGAATTCACAAGTTTTTTTTTTCAAATTGTGGGCGGGCCTTACTTGGGTATCTTCATCAAAGCCCCGACTACCACTCAAAATGAAAAGGTGGTTCAACCCGTCATGGCTCATTTCAGAGAAAGACGTGGCTCTTCAAAAGGGTCCACACCTGTGTGCAGTGCGGCGCCTCTGGCTAGCGCATCATCAGTCTGTTACCTAATAATCGACAGCGGGTTGAGTCAGAAAATTCGTAACCCTTCTTATATGCAACAGACCGCGACAAGAAACTATGAGCTTCTCTCTAACGCTCCACGGCGCTACGGCACGTGAAACAGAACGGCGGCAACATCCTGGATCTAGAACTGGAATGAAATGTGACTACTATGGACAAATTGTGTGCCCCGAAAGAAGCGAAAGGTGGGGCCTCCGCGCGCCCCGTAACAACCTTGCGAGACTCTTCCCTCGCCTTTCTACGGATCGCCTCAGTACCCACCCACTCTCTACCCTAGCTGCTGGTTCCTCAAAACTAGAGTCCAGCCATTTCACTTTGATGACGTTGCACCGTGATTATAACATTCCCAAAGGTACTGAAAAAACCAATGGGGGAACTGACGTCTTGCAGTTTTTTAGCTACACCCTTTTTTTCATCACCGCTGTATCTATTAAGCAGTAGAAAACCCAATTCTCGGTACCGCCAGATTTCAAAGAAAAGCTCCCCCTTAGAAGGAACCTGTTCCGAACTAGGAAATTGAGCTTGTACTTTTCTGTAGCAATGAATTCTTGTTAAAATCACTTCAAACTCCTCATCGACGTCAATGAAGCCAGGCAGGTAGCCTTCGTTATTTTGGTCCTTCGAGGTCACCGACGCATCACCGCCTTCATTCTCCTTGTTCGGCGACTTCATTTCAAGCTCATGAAACAATCATACTTATTGAACAGAATACTGAAACTAGAGCTGCCTCCTCTTGATAGTCAGTTTAGGTGAAAATGTAGCTTGAGGGGGCCACTCATAATAACTAATCAAAGCATTTCCATTTGTTTTTGTTTGTTAACTGTTGTTTTAGGCCGCAGTTCGCCTTCCGAATGTTTCAAATGATGTGAACCTATTCAAAGCGTCAATATCGAATCAAAGGGAAGCTTCGGAAGGGCACTCATAATCAACATTCAGAGCTGAGGCTCTGAGCGCACGAATAAAGTGATATAACCCGAGATTCCGTAAAAAATTGCATACATGAACTGCCACTTGCATTGCGACCGCAAGATTTGGTGAAAATGAAAGGTCAGTAAGGTGGCAGCCGTTTTGGCTATAGAACAATACGACTAGGGTAGCAAGTATGGCGTACTGGTCGTAGGCCATTGTCAAAGCAAAAGACATGGTGGGGTTTTATACGATTTGAGTGCCCTTCAGTAGCTTCACACGATTAGATATGAGTGGCCCCTCAAAGTACATTTTCACCACATTGTCCTCACATCTTTGTCCTTTATATCTGTTCTTCAGGAGTTCCCAAGTTTAGAGTTTTCTGTAGCTAAGCAAGAGAGTTTTGGATCTTTGACTGGTCATGTTTCAAACGGTACAACAAGCTAGAGAAGCTGAGAAGTCAGAAACTAATATCGGTTTGTTAGGGTATAGTCCCATTAATTTGTTCTTCTCAAGTTTCCAGGCTATTTTCTTGAATCTGTAAGCTATCAAAGCTGAACGGCCATAACTTTCGTAACTTTTCGTATAGGTCGTTTTTTTGGAAAAAGAAAAATGCCTTTGAAAACTAAGGTTTGCTAGTAAACACTGAAATATACCAAAATTCGCCGACCACCAGTTTCTTTTGTCAACACTTTCTTTTTGGCTTTGCACACTCAATCCCTCCATAAAATTCCATGTCCCTATATACATTAAAGCTTTATCCATAAACCCTGGATCTTCTCTAGTAATCAAGCTTTTTCTAGTGAGAGTCCTGCTTTCAGCTTTGCGCCACGCACTCCTCAAGACTGAAAGTCGGAAAGGCATATGGAAGGTATATGCAGCGAATCTAGTTGGTCCAGAGCGGTCATTTCAATTGCGAATTCATGCGATCCCGCCGCTCATCCGCGACGAATGGCGTCGCGCGCGTCGCACTATGCGGCGGGTCCGAGTAAACGACTCAATCTGTCGTGCCCATGACTTGGGATTGAAGCATGACCTATGAGGCGGGGACAAAGTCAACGGGAAGTCGCAGGCTACGGCGAAGGGTGACGATATTGCTGACATCGCGATTGAATTAACGCGCTCCTGCCGCTGACCCTGCGCTTAACGTTTCCCCTTCCGTGGAGTGAATTCGATCCCTCGTTATTCTTGGCACAACGGGCAGTCAAAAGTGGGTGCAAGTAAACCGGCCGGTATTTTTATCCACCTCCTCTTTCTGCGCAAATCAAAACAAGTAGCGTGAGAGCGAATTGTAAAGGCATGGTCAAACACGGCTCAAAATGTAACTATGGTTAAAAAACTGCAGAACGCTTTCAAAAACTATACTTTTCAGTCTGTCAAGGTCGCTAAACTCGCAACGGTGTCATTTCTTCGTAGCTGTGAAAATCGCCATTTTTGATGAATGGTTCTCCGGCCATCTTTACCTGTAGAACTCACTTTGCAAACCTACCAATTTCTGTCACATACCATCCCAGTAACCGTGGTGTCACGGTCCTTCGAAATTTTACTTGTCAAAGACTGAACATTCATCATCTGTTCTACCTGTCGTGCAAGAGGACATTCAAACTAATTTTAAGGTTCAAAAATGTTGCGTCCCGACTCTTTTTCTAAATTCATTTATGGGAACTTAACATAGTCGCTCATATAACTACACAAATAGATAAAAAAAAACTAGCCGTGAAAGTTGTACATCATGGCTATTATGATTGCAACAATGTCTCCCTGATTAATATGCTATCGCTAGACAATTTCAAACCTGTACGAAAATTTTCTCCTTTATGCTACATCCTTAAAGGGAGGGGAACTCTTGCACCCACGTGGCTAAAAATTGTACCCTGCCGTGGCAGAGTCGAAAATTCGTCAGTGCAAATTATGGAGACTAAAATTCACAAGGATAAATAGCGTAGCAAAAGCAAACCTTCTGCTTGGCCGCCACGATTTTTTGTAGTTCCTCTCGGATGAAATTCTCGATTCTTTCATCATCTTGTAAGTCGTCACCTTCAGTAAGATCAGTGGTCGATGTCGACTTCGGAAAAGCTTTCGTCAAATCAGCCGACGAGGCTCGCCGAATCTTGAGAGTATTGTGTTTTAGGCGAATCCTTCATCTTACATATAAAACTTGGTTGTTTTCGATCTCAAAACTTACAGAGTTGGTGTTCACCCCAGTGCTTTTCACTTCCCGATGAGATTCGGCATCCTCCATGCTTCTTCGGCGCTTCCCCTTTGACTTCTTCATCATAGCATCATTTTCATCAACATCATCCTGAAGATGCCGTCCACGAGCAAGCTTAGCTGAAAAAGCTTGATCATTGTTCTCTCGTATTTTATTCATACACTTTGTAATAATCGGATTGTCATTATATGCACAAACCATAGTGTACCTACAATTTGACCTTATGTTTTTAAACCATTTCAAACCGTATAGCACATGGCCATTCATCAGAGATTAAAGTTTTGGCAGACCCGACAAGAGTATATAGGGTGGAGGAAAGTCACGTACGCGTGACATTTTGATCCGTTTCTAACATTGTCCGACAAATCTATGTAAAATTTTGTTTTAAAAATCTTTCTTTTTCGCAAATAATTGGTTCGTAGAAGAATACATTTGTTTTCCGAATTCTGACGAAGACCTACTCAGGTTGCTACGCGACCAAGCGGGTATCAAGAGAGCTAGGTCGGGGTCTTAACAACTCTTTCGGAGTCCATAACTTCTCCAAGAACCATCCAAAAAATGTGAAGTAGTGGAAAGAGGAGCACCATGTGTTGATAAACTCGTAAGAAAACGAGAACGGACTGTCAACGCTCGATCGGGGCAAGAATAATTTAGAATAATATTGATCACAAAGATGGCCGGAGCTTGAATAAGGAAGAGAAGCTCAAAACTTCTTGAAATTTGCTCAAACGACAGTGGAACTTAGGCATGGAATTGGAGATTATCCACTGTCAGATGGTCGAAGTCCCTACCGTTTAGGCAAAGCAGGATCCCAACGAAAAATTCAAGAAATTACGGTATTTTTAATATGCGGTGATCCTATTACGCCCTGTTGTTACATCAAGAGAATTTCACCGGTCAGAGCAAATATGACGGAGCCGTTTTCAACTTTTCAGCCAGCTCTCAAGACATGCGTAATTGGGAAATACCCGCAGTAGTTGTGCTCCCTTCACGATTGATATTTTGAAATTGTTTCAGTGTTTAGGGCAAGCATCCACCGAATTCAATCGATAGAAGCGTGAAAGTTAATTTCAAGATCTATCAAGAAGTGACCCAGTAGTGCTGTGATGTTCTGAATGCAGTAACAATTTTATTTTCAAATGGACTTCATCCCATGGACCAATACAACGGTTCACTTCTTCCTGGGTAAAATCGCTTTTTTATGATGAATTTGTGGTCTGCTGACCCTCCGTATTAGCCTGCCCAAGAACGGTTTGTGGCCATGTTGAAGAGCCATAAATGAATTGGACAGCAAAAGGTTTGGTGATTTTGAAAAGATCTGCCTGAAAGACGGAATATGTTCGGCTGTATAACCTCTACCGCCATCTACGACGAAACTAGTTTAGGCCTATATCTCTAATGACTGCTAATTCGAAACCTGTTTGCAATCATAAAGTGGCCTGATTCATTTTTCCCGTAAATCAGTTTCTTCCCAGTTCTTGCAGCCAAAAAGTAAAGTTTCTTCTTGTAATATGGCGTACGTCATTTTCTTCATCCTGTATAAGTGAAGAAATTGATTTTGATCGAGGGAGATCTTTTCATCAGAAACTTCACGACCTAATCAGGCTCAGCAAGAGGTGGAAAGCAGATTTTTGAGCGTAGATCTGGAGTCCTTGATGAGAAAAATGGTGCATATGAAGCGAGCATGTCGACATACGTGGCATCGAAAATGGGGTCTCTCAAGTTGAACCTTGAGATTTTGGAATGCTGGTAGAAATTACAAAACTTGGAATCCTACGTGCGCAATCCCGTTTTGCCCATAAAGCAGTAATCTCGTAACAAGTTCAAGGAAACCTATAGATCTAGAAAAAGTTTTCCTATCTTCTTTGGGAAGATAGGTATGGACTCACTCATAGAACTTGATTGGTAAATTTTATTATATGCGACTAGATCTTCGTCTGGCTTTTCTACAAACATTCAGTGGTGCCCCGGATGTCAACCGTAATCCTAAATCCACTCTTTGCTTGATTCAGCTTTTCCAAGATCAGTTCAGTATTTGGAACGAACCTTGCACTAGTCGCTCCTCAAAGGTAGTCCTACTCTTTTCCCGTTCTTCGTCAGGGATTTCAGCCGCGGTCTTAGCCTCATGCTTTTTCGAGAGATAGTCCACCACAACCTGAACGGAATCATATGGATCCTTTATCTCCTCCTATCAGTGGCTGGCTGCACAGCTTTTCAACGACAGGAGGTTACACCTGCTTTTAGGTGCTTGTCTGCTACATCTCATGTACTACAGTCTGAAACAAGGACTCACCTGGTGATTCTTTCGTCGAGCCAAGTCCAAGGGAGTGTAGAGGTTTTCCTTAATTGAAATGAATTAATCGCCCCTATTTCTTCCAATCACAGACTTTTCCCACTTATCCGCTTTTCCATTCTCGAAATACAAGGAATCGATAATAAAACTGCCGAAAACAAATAAGTAATAGAGGAAAACTGCAGTTTAAAAGTATGCGTTACTCTTTTCCGCTTCTCGTACACATTCAAAAAGGCCGGAAGCCTAGAAGTCAGAACAGCTTTTGTCCTTTTCAAGTGATAAACCGCAAGAAAATAAGAAAGAGAAGAGAAACATGGGAGCATCTGATTTATCTTGTTTTACTGGGTTTCCAAAACTCTAACACTGAAAATTATGCCAACAATTGAAAGCCAAGCGGCAGATAGCTTTGTTGGTTATGCAATGGAGAAACTGTTATAGTTGCATTTTTAGCAGCTACTTTACCTGAACAAAGGAAGATTTTGGCAATAAAGAACATACCTTGTAGAGCATTAATGGATCTACGAAGCAGCCTTTTGTACAGAGCAACACGACCATCTCTAAATTGCCTTGAGCAGCAGCCAAATGGAGACAAGTACGTCCTTCATGGCTAGCCGCATTAATAGAAGACGGCTGAAGAGCAAGCAACCATTCGACAACGTCTGAAATTATTCTGCATCGGGGACATCACATGACGTCATTGAAGTGAGATAGATAGATAGATTGAAAATGGTAAAGCAGTTCGCAAGCGTACAGGATGTCTCGACGTTGCCACACGGAATTGCCTGCACTGGAAGCACTAAGCCCTAGTGCTGGCAGGGCTACACCCACAGCCCGTGCCCACGTTTAGGATATTGTATCACCATGTTTGTAGCGTAGCCATGTTTTTGATTCTTTCTTGTTAACCTTGTTCTTGATGTTTTCAACAATATCTCTTCTCTTTTCTTTTAATCTAGTCACATCTCACCTCTAGCTTCGTCTTCCAGCGGCATAATCGTAAAACTTGGTCTTGGGTGTGCCTACTAATAGCCAATAAAAAGGGCTCTCCACTGGTCGCAAAGACATGTATCAAGACCCCATTACAGAAGGAGTTTCGCTGTTCCATCATATGCATGGTTTGAGAAGGTTTGCCGAGTCTTTACGTGACTACATGTCTTTGGGATCAGTGAAGAGCCCTTTGCATTGACTATTTGGAAACGGAGGCATGGTGGAAAAAACATTCGGCGAGTTGCGCGCTTCTACGGTTTTGACATTTCGAGTTCGCGCACTAATCCAGCTTGATTCTTGTTGAGAGAGATGGGTAGCTTTCGACACTCTTTAAAGGCAAATTTCGGGCTCAGACCCACTTGAGTGAGCCTTTACTGTGGCTAGAAGCGCTAGGTACGCAAGTGCAGAGGTCGCGTCACTACTTCGAAAAGCGTTACTTAGACGCTAAGAACTTTGACACGCTCCACCTGTTGCGACACGCTCCGCCCACCGCTCGATATCTTGTCTGCGTCGCTAACTTGATCTGCTATGCTCTCTCTACTCGACTTCTCTAGCGCTCTCCGCGCTCACATTATCTCTCATCTCCCTGCCGGCCTTTTGAACTTCTCCGCAGCGTAGAGCAAAAGGCTCGTATTTCCTGTGTATTTCACGATTTTTTCCTTTTTTCCACTGGCGGTCCACTTCCTACCCCTATTTCACATTTGAGTGAAACTACCTCATCAATTTAATCCTGAACGTGCCTGTAAATAGCCATAAATGTTGACTTTGAGCTGAGATACATTGCCTTGAAAATGGAGCTCGAAAATCTCCATTTCTTTTTAAAAAACCTGATATTTTATTATATTTGAAGCGGACCGGTTCGCTTGACCCTGCCGCACCTGCTCGCTTGGTGAGACGCTTCAGTGAACTTTTCGGCTGCTTTTTTTTCCCCTACGAGTTGCCTATTTCCTGCTGTTTCCAGGTTGAACACATAACCCACTTTTGCTCTAGCAGACTATGTGTTTTTTTGCAGTCATCTAATTTCAGCGTGATCTTTGTCACTGAGGACAAAAAAGATCCGAAAATCTACCTTTGCTCCTGGACTGAACGGCTTCATGGACCGGCAAGTCGCCACGATAGTTTTGTATCTCGAAGGATGCATTGTACTGCTTGAGCAATTTCAGCATTCGCATTTGACCCTTGGCAGCTGCACAGTGCGAAGGCGTACGTAAGCGGTTGTCCTGTAACAAAAATTAACTCCTCTGCTTTTTTAGATGAACGTCACTCAGCTCGACCAGTGGCGGAGATTCCATCACAGCTGGCTCTTTATCTTAGGGAGCGTCCAGTGACATCATCACTCCAAACTTCGAGCCTCCTTTCATAACAAACTCTACCTGATGATTCGGACTGGCACCGTGATCCAGAAGATGTTTAGCTGCTTCGTAATGACCATAGGTGACCGCATAGAACAGTGCAGAATGGCCAGCGCGATCTCTCTGGTCGACGGGCGTGTGAGGTGCGGCTTCCATGAAGAAGTCGATTGTCTACAAACTTCAGCTTTTGTCTGCTGCCAATATTTCTGTGGATCGCCTCAATGGCCCTTATTGATTTTTCAGCGTGTTACAAAATCGGTTCCACAAATCTATCTACATATCATGGAGGCTAAGCCCTTCATCTGATGCGGTAAATCACTTCATTATATAGACCAGAACTTTAGTGTATCTGTCGGCTTATCGGTATGTATGTCAGCCTGTATGGCGGTGTGCCTGCTCGCAAAATGAAGGCCTCTAACAAAATAATACAACCGCCAGCGGAAGCTAGGAGCTCAAAGATTCATGCGCCGGGATGTTGATGCCATGATGTGATAACACCCACAACGGCTACCCATAAAACCAGGCCGAACACTCTTGGCCATTTCCAATGGTGCTGCCGTGGCACCTGGAGGGGTGAGGCAGGAGAGAGGCGGGGACGAAGAAAAAAGAGACCACAGCTCTTGATTCTAAGGTTCAATTCATTATTGAGGTATTATTGTGAGGTCTGGGGTTGAGTGACGTACAGGGCGAATCAATACAGTTACAAGCTGACTCATCAAGTTGGAGCAAGCTAGAGCTGAGATGAATTCGTGCCTATTACAGCGCGAGGACGACGGAGGCATCGCGCGATGGGGGCCGGTGCGGATGGTGTTGGAGAGGATCGACGATTCGCTGGGTCACTCCCCCCCCCTCAGACCCACGGCTTCTCGGCTCGACGCTGCTCTACGCTACACTAAGTTCGTATTCTGCTCTGGGCAATAAACGCTGTTGACTATTTAGTGTTATATGATGACTAGAAGTTGGAGAAATCATCCAAACAATACTTTACTAACGTGATGTCGTGATAGTGATAACACCCACAACGACTACATGAACACCGATTGAGCACACACTTTTGGCCATTCCTAGGGGTGCCTCAGTGGCAGCTGTAGGGCAATGGAAGGAAAAGGGGCGCTGCGGTACCATTCTGAAGAGAGCATGATAGTGATAATCTCCACTGCATAAGAAACATTTTGTGCATAGCATCCCCCTAGTGTTGCTGACTTCACGAGAACGTGAGCACAGTCGGGGCGTCAAACATCCGCGGCAAAGGAGAAGTTTCGGCTGTTGCCGTAGACGAAACTGGTAATACTAGCATTGAGAAAAAACACGCACTCTTATCAAAAAGGTGGCTGAGGTCACCAGAGCTAGCGCGCCCATTTTCATGAAAGAAAAACCGTTAGGAAAGATAAACATTTACTGAAACTAGTGGAGCGGGCTCCTTCCTATGGTGTGGTTTGCAAAACCTGGCATGAGAATCATTGTAAAAAGGGGTGAGGATGGGAACAGAAGTTGAATTTTGACCAGCTTCAATTTTGCATACATGCATTTGATTAGTTGTTGCACGCAAGAAGAAATGCTACCGGCCCTGAGACAAATTCAAATGCGTGTATTTGAAGACTCCTTTCTTAGGTGAATAACCTTTTGGTTGCTAGCCACTAACTTACTTTGTCTACCTGTCGATGTTTGCAAATTGCTCTTTCTCCGCATACTTCTTAAGACCACCTCATTCCACCTACCTCGTGATAACCGTGACTTGCCGCACAGTGAAGCACACCCAAACGGTCACGATCCACGGCTTCGAGGTTGCCACCTGCTTGCTTCAGCGAGTGCATAGCCTCCAGATTACCTGTAACCTATGCACAATCTCCGGACACACTGTACTGAGGGCTTTACATGTATGTGCATATTACACCGATCCATTTGACAAAAGAGAGCTTCAGGATTGGTTTGGAAATACCAACCATTGCTCGCAGCCCAAAGTATTGGCGTGCGGTCATCCACGTCTCGACAGTTTGGTATTGCTCCGGCTTTAATTAAGGTGTGAAGAACAGACAGTGCCAATTCAGCGGAGATCTCTTCAGTAGCCGTAGCGTAGTGCAGTGGAGTAGCTTTCTGAAAAGAGCGAAGGTCTTCGCGAAGCTTCAGCTCTAGTTATGAAAGAATGTTATCAGGACCTAGGATAGGCTTCAACAGCTCTGTGAGAAAACCTTACGTTTTCCGTTTAGTGGCTAAAAATAAGAGCCAGCTGTATTACAAGTAAGATGGTGAAACCTCACCAATGAATCCGGTGCCTCGACGTCAGCCCCTTCAGCGAGCAGGAAATTTAGCGTGTCTAGCTGCAATTTTGCATATACATGTCTATTGTAGGCATCAATTTAAGCATCTTAGAGAGCAAAACTGCACCTGGCCACAGACGACTGCCCAGTGCACTGCAGAATGACCATCTCTGTCGCGATGGTTTATGTTGGCACCTTTTGAGAGAAGAAATTTGACCAAGTCTGTACGACCATTCATCACAGCCATCAGCAAAGGTGTATGCCTGTATAATTAAAAATTCAGTGAGAAAAGTATCAGGAGTCGAAGAAGTCGTGCAACTACAGTATTAGATACACAGTCCTGTGCTAAGCAGTCCCTGTTTTCACATAACATATTAAACTGAATGTAAAGAGCCTTGTCGAGATGTGCAGAACACTGCGAATCAATGTGCAGGGACTATTCTTCTGGAGCGAAGTTTACTGCTCTCGTTGCCAGTGTTTGGCATCATAGAGGCCTTCCAGCTTAACAAAAAGTCCAGTCAGGTAGGTGGGGATTCCATTTTTTTCTCTCTTGCTTTGTAATGCTAGAAAAAGTAATTTCTTTCGTTAGGAATGAGCTTCAACAATTGTTTCCTTCGTAGTTGGCGACAG